TCAGAACCACCAACCCAATAAAGTCGTTTTTATGACTCAATTTCTTAAACTCATGTAGGTAAGAAAGCATATATACAGCTCTTCATTCTGTAATCCATCACACAATTTAAAAACAGTATTATTTGGCTGAAATTTTAATAGGCCAAATGGAGAAAAATGTGGGTAATGCTTGATTCTAGGGTGATGGGGTGGCGGAGGGGACACAGGGGAGTGAACTTGGCTTTTCCTTTCCCTTATTCATTCATTCTTTTTCTGTTGGACAGATGTTTACTTATTCAAGCACTGCTGTGTGTCAGGTACCATGCTTTGAGCTGGGGGTAGAGTGATGAACTGAGAAAACACTGCCGCTGGTTTCTTGGGACTTACAGTTTAGTGAGGGAGGGACAGTTGTCCATGGCTGTGGAACAGACTGCCCCCAACTGGCTGAGTGGTGAGAGTCAGCACTTCCTCTGCTCCCAGTCTGGTGGGCCAGGCGTTTGGGGGTGGTACAGAGGGGCAGCTCAGCTCTGCTCCAGAGTGACTGAGGCCTCATCGGGAGTGACGGAGCCTGGGGCCGTGTGTCCAGGGCCTCCGTTGTGGCAATGGCTGGGTTCGTTGGCTTTTCTCTATGTTGCGTCTTCTGGGGTTGACATGTTTGAGATGGCTCCTTCACTCACATACCTGGAACCTAGGCTGGGTGGATGGTTGGAGGAGCTGAGGCTGGTTGGTTGTCTCTTTCTCTCTGTGCAGTCCAGGCATGTGGGTTTCCTCAGAGCTTGGTGGTCTCAAAGCTTGGTGGTCTTGGGGTAGTCAGACTTGTTTTTTGTTTTTTTTTTAAATATATTTTTTATTGATTTTTTACAGAGAGGAAGGGAGAGAGACAGAGAGTCAGAAACATCGATGAGAGAGAAACATCGATCAGCCGCCTCCTGCACATCCCCCACTGGGGATGTGCCCGCAACCCAGGTACATGCCCTTGACCGGAATTGAACCCGGGACCTTTCAGTCCGCAGGCCGACGCTCTATCCACTGAGCCAAACCGGTTTCGGCCAGACTTGTTTTTTTTAAAGATTTTTAAAAAATTGATTTTTAGAGAGAAGCATTGATGTGAGACATCCATTGGCTGCCTCCTGCACGTCTCCTACCAGGGATCGAGCCCACAACCTGGGCATGTACCCTGACCAGGAATTGAACTGGCAACCTTTTGGTGCACAGGACATGGCTCCAACCAACTGAGCCACACCGGCCAGGGCTAGTCAAACTTTCTCTATGGCAGCTGGCTTCTCCCAGAGCGAGTTCAAGATCATGAACAGAAGCTGCAAGTCCTCCTGTGACCTAACCTTAGAAATCCAGAAGGTCACTTCTGCCCTTACTGTTGGTCCACCATGTCACTAAGGCCAGTGAGACTCGGGAGGGGGTGGGGGCGGGACTTCTATTCCACCTCCCGGTGGGAGGAGTAGGCAGAATTAAGATCGCCTTTACCCTGCCCCAGAGGAAGTCAGCACTAAAGAAATAGTCACATGCAGAACTATTGCAATGAAGAAGTGCAGACTTTTACAGTAATCAGGACTTCTTGATTGGAAATGACAGAAACCCAACTCAGACGGGCCGATGAAGAGAAGGGAATTTACTGACCCACCTAACCGAGGAGCCCATGGCTGAGCCCTGATGCTGTAATAATGTGGACAAGAACCGCTTTCCCTGTCTGTCAGGGACATTTGCCTCTTTACTCAGTAGGTTTTGTTTTCTGGTGGAGCATCTCAGATGATGGCGACTGATGCTACCAGCTAATCCACATATCTATCTGGTTAGCAATCCCGACTGAATAGAGGTTCTTTCTGAATAGCTCTAGCAAATGGTCTTAGGATTAAATCTTATTGGCTGAGTTTGAGTCACATACCCTCTCCTAAACCAACCACTGTTGCCAGGGAGACAAAATTCTTGGATTGACCAGGCCTGGACTTGGTGCCCACCTCTGGGAGCTGGGAGTGGGATCAGCCCTACATGAACCACAGGCAGGGATGAATGTTTCCACAAAAGTGAAAGAGTTTCTTTTATTAGAAGAAGAGGGAAACAGATGCTAACCAGACAAATACGTAAGTACCCATCACATAGCCAGACACGCGTGACATGCCTTGCAGAGGTCCATACATAGACACATGGAAGGACATTCCTCCCTGTTCTCATTTCTTCCGCTTATTAAACTTGCAGTTATTAAGTTTTCATTGTGGATGAAGCAGCAGACTAGTTGTAACTGGGGATCCAAGATGAATAGACAAATGGGTAATGTTGGGAGGGCTCTGGGGGCTCATCAAAGAAAAAGACATGACCGCTAGGTGGCAGTAGCACACACAAGCTTTCTTGGGTGACACTGCTGGCAGGAGAAGCCCCTCACAGCAGGAGACTGCCCCAAAGTACAGGGCAGACACTTGGAAGGGGAGGATGGCAAGGGAACTCCTGGGGGAGAGGGGAGATCCTAGAGCAGTGATGGCGAACCTTTTGAGCTCGGTGTGCCAGCATTTTGAAAAACCCTAACTTAACTCTGGTGCCGTGTCACATATAGAAATTTTTTTATATTTGCAACCATAGTAAAACAAAGACTTATATTTTTGATATTTATTTTATATATTTAAATGCCATTTACCAAAGAAAAATCAACCAAAAAAATGAGTTCGCGTGTCACCTCTGACACGCGTGTCATAGGTTCACCATCACTGTCCTAGAGGGACCTTATGTGACTAGGGAATCTCATAGCACAGTGGGGAGTCCCTGGGGCAGAGAGCAGTCAGTGGCTTGGGGGCCTTTTTTCCCAGTGCTTATCTTAGTTATGGCTAGCAGAGGTTGGGCAGTTTTTTGGGGCATGCAAAGCAGAAAGGCTCTAAATGGCTAAACATCTGCTTACTTGGGCTATATTTAACCATTTGCCTGCCATAAGTGTCTATAGACCAACTTTAAAATCATTTTTCATGAGAATTTTCAACGGAAAATATTCAAGAACACCCAAATTGTGAGTAATATATTTATTTTTATAATATTCATTACAACTTGATTTTTTAAATTAAATTCAAAATATCGTGGCGTGTGGGGATGGCTTCCGTTTTGGACACGTGGCAGGTAACTGGTTAAAACAATGTGTAAAAATTTGAGTTTGGCACTGGTGGGCTTTTGAGCTAATGGGTCTGCAGGGAGGAAATAAGCAACCCACCAGCCAATACACAGAGACCATCTTTAGCTTGTTTATATAACGAGGAGTTAATATCAAACCTCAGTTACAAACATAGCAACTCATTAATATCAGCAAGTTACAACTGAACAGTAAAGTAACTCACCCAAGGTTACACAGCTAGTTGGAGGGGCAGACAGGATTGAGACCCAGACAGACTGGCTTTGGGGTCCATTCTCTCAAACCAACTGCCACAGCATCTCAGAGGGCTGAGTAATCTTTCATGGTCTTAGTTTCCTCACCTGCAAAAGGACAGGGGGTTGACCAGCTGGGCAGTCTGACACTGCACTCCTAGGATTGTTCCATGTACACGGGCTAGCAGCGGTTCTCAACCTGTGGGTCGCGACCCCTTTGGCGGTCGAACGACCCTTTCACAGGGGTCGCCTAAGACCATCCTGCATATCAGATATTTACATTAGGATTCATAACAGTAGCAACATTACAGTTATGAAGTAGCAACGAAAATAATTTTATGGTTGGGTCACAACGAGAGGAACTGTATTTAAAGGGCCAGAAGGTTGAGAACCACTGGGCTAGAGGATCAGGTAGGTGCTGGTGTTGGAATTACATGCAGGTTCTCAGCCTGGGCGTGAATCCTGCCCCTCTCAGAACTGTGCAGTGGCTTTCCTGAGAATCCCTGGGATTACTTATTCTTGGGTTGAACGAATAAATTTCCCTGAAAATTATAGAAATTCTGTAAGGGAGGAACATTTTAATTCAAGGGAATATAAGGAAATTAATTCAACAGTATTTTGAGGGCACCTTTACTTTTTGAAGCACTGTTCTAGTTGTTGGGGGATATAACCATAAACAAAATCTCTGCTTTTGTTGAGTGCATTGTAGAAAAGTAGAAAAGGAGGTAACAAGCATAACAAATAAGTGAAATCTTAAAATCTTTAACGCATCAGATGGCAAGTGTCCTGTGAATGATAGAGAACTAATCCTCCCAGCACGCATATGGTACTGATTGGAAAACACGGCCACTGTCCCTTCATAACCTTTGATGATGGAGGCCATCTGCTTAGAGGTAAAATAGCCAAATCCATTACCGCCAGTATAAATCTTGTCTCAGGCTGTCCCCTCATGCCCTTTAATCTCTGCGATTTATAAACACACTGACCACAAAAGTCATCATCCTAGAAGTATTTGCTATCTTGCTTCTCTTCCGTTTCCCCAGCAGAACTGGGAACTCCATGAGGGTAGGCATCGTGTCTGGCCCTGTTCACAGTTACACCCTCAGGCTCTCCATGGAGGCTAGGCCTCTTGGAAGGTGTTCAAGAAGTATTTGTTAGCTGTGAAACGCACGTGCGAAAGAGATCTGTGGACGAATTGGGTTTTTGGTTGCCGCTGGTTTATATCGCATATACACACTCTCACTTTCCCCTTTAAAATAATAGTCAATTTCTCTGCCTGGCCGGCTGGTGTGGCTCAGTGGTTGAGCACCAACCTATGAACCAGGAGGTCACAGTTCGATTCTTGGTCAGGGCACAGGCCCAGGTTGTGGGCTCGATCCTCAGTGGTGAGTGTGCTGGAGGCAGCTGATTGATGATTCTCATCATTGATGTTTCTGTTTCTCTCTCTCTCTCTCTCTCTCTCTCTCTCTCTCTCTCTCTCTTTCTCTTGTTTCCCCCTCTCAACCCCCCTTCCTCTCTGAAATCAATAAAAATATTTTTTAATCCTCCTTCCTCTATGAAATCAATAAAAATATTTTTTAAAATTAAAAAAAGCCAATTTCTATTTGAAAGTTACCTTTTGTGATTCCACTTTCCTTCTCTCTCTCCTTTTTTTTTTTTTGCAGCCGTGCAATCATTGCACACCCTAAATGACCAGATATCCCATTTTATTGTCACCAAGTCGAAGGCACTGGAGGAGGACAAAGACCCCTTTCTGCCCGCAGAGAAGGAGACCCTGAAGAGTTCCATGGTACTGATGAGACACCTCCTCATGGATGCCCAGGTACAGCCATCAGCAAAGAAATCGCGAGACAGTCGGTGGGATACTTTCTCGGTTGTTTTGTGGCATAAGCTGTGCAAAAATGTTCGACACCCACACTTATTCGAAGCCGCCATTTGTGATAAACAGACATTCTGTGCTGAGTATATTGAGTATTGGATTTCTTATAGGGTATTATTCGGGCTTAGTATTAAAATAGCTTGTTTTGAAGTCAAAGAATTAGGGCTTAAAAATAATGCATGTGTTGTCTCTGAGAATTTAACAGATCTCCCATTCGCCTTGGAAAAATGAAAACCCATTTACATACCAACTTGGCAGGCATCAAAGCTGGCACGGGCCTTGGAGCAGAGCAATGCTTATCCCAGGGAGCATCGCCGAGTGACTAATGAATATTTTGGTACATGGGATGTGCCCCCAGTACGTGAATCAGCCCTGGGTTGGGCTTTTTGGTTTTGTTTTGTTTTGTTTAATGCCAGCAACAAATTAATTACAGAAGGTATTTAACTCATTGCATGCTATTGTTGAGATGTTATTCTTCCAGGTTTCTCCTTGTGAACTCTTTCCTTGAAATGTTTAAAAAATAGTCTATTTATTCCATCTGGCTTTGTTGGTGGGTCTCTCCAGAGATGTTGACAGGCAAACACCAGGTGTTTTAAGAGAATTGCTAGTTTTCTATATGAGGGAAGCCAAGCTGAGTGAGATTTTATTGTCATTGCTGCCTCTCCAGTACCTAGAAATGTTTCAGAAAATGTTCTTCGGATTTGGTGATTTTTGTATTAGTTTTCCCTGGAGCATTCGTCCTGAGCCGGTTTCCTGTTCAGTAACAGCGAGGTCGGAATGGCTGGTGATTGCCTGCGTTCCGCCCTGGATCCGATTTTGAACTGTGGTTTCTTGCTTTTGTTTCTACCACGGTGGCGTTTATGTCTTATTTCTTAAATCAATTCTGAGGCCTGGAGCTGGTACCAATAAGACTTTAGCTGGCAAGACTTTTGTACACTTCTCTCCTGTCCAATTTCTGAGCCCCTATGTTGAGATGGCCCAAATTATGCAAAGCCTTTCATTTTATTCCCCCTTCTCCCTTTATTATGCGCAGCCCATTCAGCGTCTCCTTCCTCCCCAAGCCTGTCTGGTGGAAAAGGGAAAGATTCTGAAGCTGCAACAGCCAATTTTGAAACTCAGAAGAAAGGGAAATTTAGAGCAATTTGCTAAATAAAAGAGCAAATTGTTCTTGAAAGGATTAGCTTTCCTCCATGCCTGGACCAGTCTTACAGCTAACACCCCAGCCAAGGAAACTGTCACAATACATCCCCAAAGATTTTGTGTAAACTCCCAGTTTTGCAAAACCTAAAAGAATAAAAATCATTCCTCCTTTTCCTCTTCTTCACATAGGAACTGACTGGTGTCTAGAACTGGATCAAAAAAAGCGTTTAGCATTGCTTAAGGAAATATCTGTTCCCTCTAAGTGTCGAAGGCATTTGACAACTTTTACCTGTAGTGTTGGTCCCAAATGTTTTCTTTTCTTAAAAAAAATCTATCAGGACTAAAATATTCAATATAATGCAATTACTGAGTGGAAACATCTTATTATCTCCTTCTCTTCTGATCCCAAACCCATGCCTGCTAGGATTTTCTCGCTTAAATCATTAAGGAAAAACAAAAAACAAAAAACAACACGAAGCAAGCTATGGTGGATATCCCCTGAGTCATGCACTCTAAGAGGAAAGTGGGTTGGATTTTCTTCCAGAGCGGCCAGGGAAATCATAGAAAGTCAGGTAGGAGCCTGGCCAGTGTGGCTCAGTGGTTGAGCATGGACCTATGAACCAGGAAGTCATGTTTGATTCCTGGCCAGGGCCCATGGCCGGGTTGCGAGCTCCATCCTCAGTGCGGGGTGTGCAGGAGGCAGCTGCTCAATGATTCTCATTGATTCATCTCTCTCTCCCTCTTCCTTTCTCTCTGAAATCAATAAATCCGTATATATATTGACCAGCCATGGCCCATATATATATGAAAGTCAGGTAGGAGAGTAGTCTGGTGTCTGGGAATGCTACTTCTCCCACCTCCTATTGTTCAAAGATTCCTCCCTCTTGTCTCTCAGACTAATTAGTTTAGTCTAAAAATACCACCATCATTTCTTTTCTTCCAAAACCACTAACTTTTTGAAACATTATTTGTGGTTATGAGTCTAGGGCCATGGCCAGTCAATTAGAATCACATTACCGCATCCCCCCAGGCTCTGAGCACCTCTGAAATATGCTCCCTATACAATTAGCCATTGCCAAGCTTATGAAATGCTAAGGAACCCCAACTTGCGGGGTGGGGGTGGGGGCAGGGGTGATGTGTGGTTTTCAGGTTTGAAGTAGACATTTAGAGATATGTTCATTTTAATGAGACTTTTTATTGAGCGTTTTTGGAAATTCAATTATTTCCCATTCATTTTTTCATTACTTCTTACTTCAATTCCGAAGAGGAATGAACGTACTTATTTCATATCCTAAGCTCATCAATAGTGAGAGGGCAACCGCATGTCAATATAAGTTCTATGTATCTCCTTCCTCTCGGCTGCATTTTGCGATATTATTAGACGGCCAATAGGTGTGTGTGGTGCAGGGTGCACACTATTCACGGGTGGCAACCACATCCCTTCACTTGGTTGGTGTAAAAGCCTGCTCAGTCCCACACTCCAAGGGCTCTCGATGGTACGAGAGGATGGCATTCTCGGACATCAGTTTACAAACCGAGTGAATCAGACAAAAGATATTCCGGGGGACCGGAGAGCTGCTTCCAGAGTGACTGCTTGAAAGGCATAATCGATTCAAGTCACATCTGTCTTGGAAGCAATAAATCCTGCTTAGGAGAACGTCAAAGGCAAAAAGCATCGCTGGGTATGAATTCCACCCTGCGGATTATAAAAGGTGCGCACAGAGCAGGCCCATCTCCCAGGTATAATAGGGGAGCGGGGATGATTGGCAGGTCTGACAACCCACCCTAGAGAGCAGGATCAGGAAGAGCATCGCAGACGGGCAGCTCTGAGGCCGGCAATTACTTCCTCTTTCCCCAAATGCTTCCCCGTGGGGGGTGTGGAAGTGGCAGAGCGCCTCCCTTTGCCTTCCCTTCCTTGTGTCCTTCACAGGCCCCCAGTTCAACCAAGCACCCCATTCAGATCGCATTTGAAACCTCAGTGTGTGGGTTTGATTCCTGAGAGCTCTGTCCACACCCAACCTGCCCGCTCAGCCCCATAAGTGATTAGATTCATAACACCGACCCGGCAGTTCTTCCCGGTGGAGACGGGTTCTTTTGCTCGCACCGTGTGACTCTGCATGCTAAGAGGGGTTGATTACAGCAAATTAAATCTCCTATTGGCAGTTTTCCCCTTCTTCCCCCCCGAAGACCCAAAGTCATTATTTATTAAAGGCGGCACAAATGCTTGGGAAAACAATAAGATCGCTTTGTGGGCAGGTAGGTCGTCCTCGCCAAGGCCGGGTCCTGACTGAAAGGCCGTGGAGCGCCAGTGGCCACGGAAGGGTCTGTGTCCTCTGACCCTCCGGGCTGCGCGGGCCTGGCAGCCAGTGAGCTTCCGGCCTGACACGCGGCTTCCCTCATTCAAAGGAATCAAAGGCCCATCTGTAGGAATGAAACCTTTAAAGAACCAAAACAAACCGCACAGCCTCCATCTCTAAGCAGGTCTGTGCTTGTGGCCTGACAGAGTCAAATGTGGGGCGGGAAGGAAGGGAAATCTGCTTTATCTTCTGCACTGTTCTTCCCAGCCCCCTGCTCTCTCATCCTCTCCCTCCTCCCCACCTCCCCCTGCCCCAGCCTGTCCTCTCCTTTCCTCCCATCCCCTCTTCTTCCTCCCTCCCAGCCTCCTCTTCTTCCCCTTCATAGAATAATGTGCAAGGGGAATGTGCAAGGAGACTGCCCTGTTTCTCCCCTTGCTTTCCTGTTCTCTCATCTGTCTTTCTCTCTGGTATTTGTGTTCAGGGAACTTGGGAGCCTAATTGCTGAAGACCTGACCCATGTTCCCTTTGCCGAGCAGAGGGAAAGGCAGCAGGAGGGTGCGGTTGGCAGGAGGCACGCCTGGCGCCCAGTGGGCTGACCCGGTCCCTGCCAGGGTCAGAGACGCGGTATGATTTGGACAGCTTCTGTTTTCTTTCTAGAATGGTCTAGAAAACTCCTCCAGTTGATGGTACTTTCTGATTCATTTCTGGCAAAACCCCAGACAGATAGACTGTGAGTAAGACTGGCTGTTTGAACTGTTCACACCCTAGACGGGCCTCCCACGGGGAGTGCGCTTGGGAGCAGAGCCCCCACCAGAAGGGCCTTGGCTCAGGCTCCTGACCTCCAGGAGGGTTAGCTCCGCACAGTGGGGACCGTGGGAATCCGGAGGTGCACGTGCTCCTCACGGAGGACGCTCCCAGGTGCTTTCTCCATTTCTAGGGTTTTCCCCGCTTCCCCGCATTTCCTAAAGCCAGCCCTCGCCCTGGATGGCCGTGGGGTGTTACTGTGAGTTACTCTCGAGCTGCAGTTGGCGTCACACTCATGTCTGTGAGCCTGACCCTGCTGACAGCCCGGGAGAGTGCAGCTCGGCCTCACACTGCACAAGCTGAGGCACCAGGAGGATGCTGGACATCTCAAGGTCACAGGCGTGGGCTGGGGCTGTGAGGACCCCACGTAGAGATTTTCCTTTTTCTCTTTTGAAGTGCGGCACCTGGCTGGAGCCCGGACTAGAACTCTCTCCCTCTGCTGTGGCCAGCAGAGAAGAAGCTCCACGATTAGAACAAGAGCCAAGAGGCCAAGTTTTCACCTAAGAAAATTACCCTGGGCTGTTTTTAGGTCTCCTCACACCATCAGGTTTCCACCTCTTAGAGGTCAGAGGAGAAAGAAAGAAGCAGACGCCAGGGAAGGGAGCTCACCCAGTTCCCACGCTACCGTGGCAAGCAGATAGGCCCAGGAAGTCTTAGCGCACCCCCCTGCCCCCCAGTAATGTGTGTGCGTGTTTGCAAAGG